CTGGGCCTGGACATTTTTTGGTTGGTAGGCTATTAATTATTGCCTCAATTTCAGAGCCTACTATTGGTCTATTCAGGGATTCAGCTTCTTCCTGGTTTAGTCTTGGGAGAGTGTAAGTGTCCAGGAAATTATCCATTTCTTCTAGATTTTCTAGTTTATTTGCATAGAGGTGTTTATAGTATTCTCTGATGGTAGTTTGTATTTCTGTGGGGTCGGTGGTGATATCCCTTTTATCATTTTTTATTGCATCTATTTGATTCTTCTCTCTTTTCTTCGTTATTAGTCTTGCTAGCAGTCTATCAATTTTGTTGATCTTTTCAAAAAACCAACTCCTGGATTCATTGATTTTTTTGGAGGGTTTTTTGTGTCTCTATCTCCTTCAGTTCTGCTCTGATCTTAGTTATTTCTTGCCTTCTGCTAGCTTTCGAATGTGTTTGCTCTTGCTTCTCTAGTTCTTTTAATTGTAATATTAGAGTGTCAATTTTAGATCTTTCCAGCTTTCTCTTGTGGGCATTTAGTGCTATAAATTTCCCTCTACACACTGCTTTAAATGTGTCCCAGAGATTCTGGTATGTTGTATCTTTGTTCTCATTGGTTTCAAAGAACATCTTTATTTCTGCCTTCATTTCATTATATACCCAGTAGTCATTCAGGAGCAGGTTGTTGAGTTTCCATGTAGTTGGACGGTTGTGACAGAGTTTCTTAGTCCTGAGTTCTAGTTTGATTGCACTGTGGTCTGAGAGACAGTTTGTTACAATTTCTGTTCTTGTACATTTGCTGAGAAGTGCTTTACTTCCAATTATGTGGTCAATTTTGGAATAAGTGTGATGTGGTGCTGAGAAGAACGTATATTCTGTTGATTTGGGGTGGAGAGTTCTGTAGATGTCTATTAGGTCTGCTTGCTGCAGAGATGAGTTCAATTCCTGGATATCCTTGTGAACTTTCTGTCTCGTTGATCTGTCTAATGTCGACAGTGGGGTGTTGAAGTCTCCCATTATTATTGTATGGGAGTCTAAGTCTCTTTGTAAGTCTCTAAGGACTTGCTTTATGAATCTGGGTGCTCCTGTATTGGGTGCATATATATTTATGATAGTTAGCTCTTCCTGTTGAATTGATCCCTTTACCATTATGTAATGGCCTTCTTTGTCTCTTTTGATCTTTGATGGTTTAAAGTCTGTTTTATCAGAGACTAGGATTGCAACCCCTGCTTTTTTTTGTTCTCCACTTGCTGGGTAGATCTTCCTGCATCCCTTTATTTTGAGCCTATGTATGTCTCTGCATGTGAGATGGGTCTCCTGAATAGAGCAAACTGATGGGTCTTGACTCTTTATCCAGTTTGCCAGTCTGTGTCTTTTAATTGGACCATTTAGTCCATTTACATTTAAGGTTAATATTGTTATGTGTGAACTTGATCCTGCCATTATGATATTAACTGGTTATTTTGCTCATTAGTTGATGCAGTTTCTTCGTAGCCTCGATGGTCTTTACATTTTGGCATGTTTTGCAATGGCTGGTACCAGTTGTTCCTTTCCATGTTTAGTGCTTCCTTCAGGGTCTCTTGTAAGGCAGGCCTGGTGACAAAATCTCTAAGCATTTGCTTATCTGTAAAGGATTTTATTTCTCCTTCACTTATGAAACTTGGTTTGGCTGGATATGAAATTCTGGGTTGAAAATTCTTTTCTTTAAGAATGTTGAATATTGTCCCCCACTCTCTTCTGGCTTGTAGAGTTTCTGCCGAGAGATCTGCTGTTAGTCTGATGGGCTTCCCCTTGTGGGTAACCTGACCTTTCTCTCTTGCTGCCCTTAAGATTTTTCCTTCATTTCAACTTTGGTGAATCTGGCAATTATGTGTCTTGGGGTTGCTCTTCTCAAGGAGTATCTTTGTGGCATTCTATTTCCTGAATTTGAATGTTGGCCTGCCCTACTAGGTTGGGGAAGTTCTCCTGGATGATATCCTGAAGAGTGTTTCCCAACTTGGTTCCATTTCCCCCCTCACTTTCAGGCACCCCAATCAGACGTAGATTTGGTCTTTTTACATAATCCCATACTTCTTGCAGGCTTTGTTCATTTCTTTTTCTTCTTTTTTCTTTAGGTGTCTCTTCTCGCTTCATTTCATTCATTTGATCCTCAATCGCTGATATTCTTTCTTCCAGTTGATCGAGTCAGTTACTGAAGCTTGTGCATTTGTCACGTATTTCTTGTGTCATGGTTTTCATCTCTGTCAGTTCGTTTATGGCCTTCTCTGCACTAATTATTCTAGTTATCAATTCTTCCACTCTTTTTTCAAGATTTTTAGTTTCTTTGCGCTGGGTACGTAATTCCTCCTTTAGCTCTGAGAAGTTTGATGGACTGAAGCCTTCTTCTCTCATCTCGTCAAAGTCATTCTCCGTCCAGCTTTGATCCGTTGCTGGCGATGAGCTGCGTTCCTTTGCAGGGGGAGATGCACTCTTATTTTTTGAATTTCCAGCTTTTCTGCACTGCTTTATCCCCATCTTTGTGGTTTTATCTGCCTCTGGTCTTTGATGATGGTGATGTACTGACGGGCTTTTGGTGTGGGTATCCTTCCTGTTTGTTAGTTTTCCTTCTAACAGTCAGGACCCTCAGCTGTAGGTCTGTTGGAGATTGCTTGAGGTCCACTCCAGACCCTGTTTGCCTGGGTATCAGCAGCAGAGGCTACAAGTGTACTTGTCTGATTCTTGCTTTGGAAGCTTCCTCTCAGGGGTGTACTCCACCCTGTGAGGTGTGGGGTGTTGGTCTGCCCCTACTGGGGGATGTCTCCCAGTTAGGCTACTCAGGGGTCAGGGACCCACTTGAGCAGGCAGTCTGTCCGTTCTCAGATCTCAACCTCCGTGTTGGGAGATCCACTGCTCTCTTCAAAGCTATCAGACAGAGTCCTTTGCGTCTGCGGAGGCTTCTGCTGCTTTTTAATTTGTTTTTGTTGTTGTTGTTGTTGTTTAGTTGTGCCCTGTCCCTAGAGGTGGAGTCTACAGAGACAGACAGGCCTCCTTGAGCTGTTGTGAGCTCCACCCAATTCGAGCTTCCCAGTGGCTTTGTTTACCTACTTAAGCCTCAGCAATGGTGGGTGCCCCTCCCCCAGCCTTGCTGCTGCCTTGCTGTTAGATAGCAGACTGCTGAGCTAGCAATGAGGGAGGCTCCGTGGGCGTGGGACCCTCCCAGCCAGGTGTGGGATACAATCTCCTGGTGTGCCCGTTTGCTAAGACTCTTGGTAAAGCGCAGTACTGGGGTGGGAGTTACCCGATTTTCCAGGTGTTGTGTGTCTCAGTTCCCGTGTCTAGGAAAAGGGATTCCCTTCCCCCTTGTGCTTTCCAGGTGAGGCGATGCCTCGCCCTGCTTCAGCTCTCCCTGATTGGGGCTGCAGCAGCTGACCAGTGCAGCAGCTGACCAGTCCGGCACTCCCTAGTGGATGAACCCAGTACCTCAGTTGAAAATGCAGAAATCACCTGTCTTCTGTGTTGCTCGCGCTGGGAGCTGGAGACTGGAACTGTTCCTATTCAGCCATCTTGCTCCGCTGTCCTGCTACAGTAACCAAAACAGCATGGTACTGGTACCAAAACAGAGATATAGACCAATGGAACAGAACAGAGTCCTCAGAAATAATACCACACATCTACAGCCATCTGATCTTTGACAAACCGGAGAGAAACAAGAAATGGGGAAAGGATTCCCTATTTAATAAATGGTGCTGGGAAAATTGGCTAGCCATAAGTAGAAAGCTGAAACTGGATCCTTTCCTTACTCCTTATATGAAAATTAATTCAAGATGGATTAGAGACTTAAATGTTAGACCTAATACTATAAAAACCCTAGAAGAAAACCTAGGTAATACCATTCAGGACATAGGCATGGGCAAGGACTTCATGTCTAAAACACCAAAAGCAATGGCAACAAAAGCCAAAATAGACAAATGGGATCTAAGTAAACTAAAGAGCTTCTGCACAGCAAAAGAAACTACCATCAGAGTGAACAGGCAACCTACAGAATGGGAGAAAATTTTTGCAATCTACTCATCTGACAAAGGGCTAATATCCAGAACCTACAAAGAACTAAAACAAATTTACAAGAAAAAAAACAAACAACCCCATCAAAAAGTGGGCAAAGGATATGAACAGACATTTCTCAAAAGAAGACATTCATACAGCCAACAGACACATGAAAAAATGCTCATCATCACTGGCCATTAGAGAAATGCAAATCAAAACCACAATGAGATACCATCTCACACCAGTTAGAATGGCAATCATTAAAAAGTCAGGAAACAACAGGTGCTGGAGAGGATGTGGAGAAATAGAAACACTTTTACACTGTTGGTGGGACTGTAAACTAGTTGAACCATTGTGGAAGACAGTGTGGCAATTCCTCAAGGATCTAGAACTAGAAATACCATTTGACCCAGCCATCCCATTACTGGGTATATACTCAAAGGATTATAAATCATGCTGCTGTAAAGACACATGCACACATATGTTTATTGCTGCACTATTCACAATAGCAAAGACTTGGAATCAACCCAAATGACCATCAGTGACAGACTGGATTAAGAAAATGTGGCACATATACACCATGGAATACTATGCAGCCATAAAAAAGGATGAGTTTGTGTCCTTTGTAGGGACATGGATGCAGCTGGAAACCATCATTCTCAGTAAACTATCGCAAGAACAGAAAACCAAACACCGCATGTTCTCACTCTTAGGTGGGAACTGAACAATGAGATCACTTGCACTCGGGAAGGGGACCTTCACACACTGGGGCCTATCATAGGGAGGGGGGAAGGGGGAGGGATTGCAATGGGAGTTATATGTGATGTAAATGACGAGTTGATGGGTGCTGACGAGTTGATGGGTGTAGCACACCAACATGGCACAGGTATACATATGTAACAAACCTGCATGTTATGCACATGTACCCTAGAACTTAAAGTATAATAATAATAAAAAAATAAATAAATTAAAAAAAATTTTTTTTCATATTTTCCTACATTGTTGCTAAAATAGTTCCACTGGTTCAAACTGTCAGTGTAAGTCCAACCTATTCTTCAGAATTAATTAGAATTTCATCTTACCATGAAAGTTCATTCTGCAATCACCAGGAAGTTTGACATTGACTTCAGACAAAATCTTAGAATGTAACGCTTAATTAACAATTTGTACTGTTATATTGTGAGTTAGCTGCATGTGTTAGAATATCTCAGACTTACCAAGTCCAAAACTGAACTCTTGAGTTTTCTCCCCGAAACTGTTTCCTTCCCCGTCTTCTCCAACTCTGTGATTAAAAACTCCACTCAGTTGCCTAAGTGAAATATTTCAGGGTATTCTTTGTTTCTGCTTTCTCTTATACTCAATATCTAACTATAAGCAAATCACCTTCAAAATACCCCATATTCAATTACTTCTCATCACTTCCTTTTTCACCACCATAGTTGATATGATATATTATTCTCTCTTACCTGGATTATGCAACAGCCATCTAAATAGTCTCCTTGTTCTTACTGTTAAACTCCCTAGAGTCTATCTTCCATATATGTCAGATCATGGTCTCATCTACTCAGAAACTTCCAGTGACTTCTGTAGGGAGAGAGATTAAAACTTCTTTTTTTTTTAACCTTCTTAGGTTCAGTGGCTTGGGCCTGTGAATTACACTTCAAAAAGACAGATCAACAGGAAAAAAGAACCCCAGAATTTGCTTATGCATGCAATGTACATATATATAGAAGAACTTAATGATGGGTAACTCAAAGGTGTGATTAGAATTTGGAACTTATATATCTTAACAAAGAAAGATAAGTTTGTGGAGAACTGACAAAACAAAGGAAAAGGAAACTAGGCTTCCAGGGACAGTCAATTGAGGGAAGGTAAATATATAAAGGGAAACTAATGGAAGATAAGGGTTATTTTAGTAAGGTTTGTTCGTGCAGACCAATGTTGGTGCTGACATTCCAACTCCAGTAACAATGGTTGTTTTCCTCTTCATGGTATGAGAGAAGGAAGGACATTCATGTCCTGCTTTTAGGCAAATCAGGGGAGGACAAAGAGCTCTTTCTGTTTGCTGCTTCATAATTGCCTTCAGCTCAAAATAATCATTATGCCAATGTAGCATATCATGGGGTGGCATATTTTGATCCCCTTCACTAGTTTATCTTACAAAGCCTGTTCTAGTCACAAGGTACATAACTTGGTCTACTACATTCTCTTAGAAAGAGAAATGAGAAGCTATCTCCTATCATGTTAGAAAAGAGGTTGGGCGGGGGAGGGGCAGTTTGTGAGATCAGGGAGTTGAGTGGTTTCCAAGAGAAGCTTTGTACCCTGCCCCTCAGATAGAGGCCCAGGAAGCAGGCAAGGCCACAAAGAGAGAAGGGCTGCTTGGAGGGGGCCAGGCTGATGAAGACTGATAGGCCATTAAGGGAATGAAGAAAGAGCCTGAAAGAGACTTACTTACCAGACTGACATCCTATGTGGACCAATGGCCAGCGACCAAAAAGGTTGATATCTACTGATACAAGTAAGTCAAAGACCACATTTCTTCTACCCTCTCTGCTGAAGAAAGCAAGAAACTTGATGAATCAGAAGGACATGGACTGATTAAGGCAGAATGAAACATAAACACAGAAATTTCCAATTGGGTTGAATTATTTACAAATATATATTTATTAATCTACTTGATTTGTGGAATAACATTTATATACTCCCTGGCACATAGAAGGTCAATTTATTATAGTTACTATTCCTGCTATATTTTATTTTATGTGTATGTCCATCTCTTTTTGGTTAATCTGATGCTTAATTGTATGTGTCAACTTGGCTTGGCCATGGTGTTCAGATATTTGGTCAAACATTATTTTGCATATGTCTGTGAAGGTGTTTCTTGGATGAGATTAACATCTGAATCACTGGACTTTGCATAATGTCCTCTAGGTGCATTCATGTTGTCATAAATGACAGAATTTGTGTTGCTGAAACAATTTTTTGCTGCTCAAAAAGTCAACACCAACTTTTATTTACATAAGAGTAATATCCAGTTCAAGAATGGTAAGGATCTCACTGTCATCAGGGCTGAGGTTTGAAATCCACTTTGAGTACACTGCAAAGAGGGCTGATGTTGACTAATATGCAGATAGGAAAGGGCAAGTCACATGTGTGGTGAGGAGCCAGACACTGAATGGTTAAAATAACTAGGGCTGTCAAAACTGAATGAAGGAAGGCTCAACAGAGAGATGATAGCTGTTTTCAGATATTTGAAAGGCTTATTGTGGATGACAGAATGTGCTTGTTCTGAATGGGAGTTGAAAGCATGAATGTTTGATTCAATCCACAGAAAGAGGAAGCTTCTCACAGTTGAGTGTGCATCAATGTTAAGGGATTCAAACAGATGTTCAATATTCATTTTGTCTGGAATGTTGTCAGAGGATTCCTGTGTGTAGAGGAATGTGGTCTTGGCACTTTTCAGTTTAGGATAATCATAAGAGGGTGGGCAGAGACAACTAATATTAGCAAACTTCAGGAAATATGCTGAATGCTTCATGTCATTAGAATGTCTAATGACATCAGAATGTCTCACTGAATCTGCCTAACAGCTCTATGAGTTAAACATTACAAGCATTATTATTCTTATTTCACAAATCAAGCTTAGTTTACATAGCAAACTGCCAGAGTTCACAATGCTGAGAAATTGTAGGGGCAAGTTGAGAATCCAGGTCTATTGCATTAAAAGACTATATACTTTCCACCATACACTCCATTTCCCTAACATGCTTTTTCAAAAGAAAAGAACAAATTCTTAGTTTGAGGACAAAACTGCCAAAATATACAGATTTTATTAACAAACTGACCGATGACAGGCACCGATTCATTGAAATATTTTAGCTATGATTCTGATCATGTATTAATTTCAATGCTTAAAATTATGAACATTTTAACATATAGTAATAGCACATGTGAAAACTACTGTCTTCTTGATATATGTCCATCTTTTTTTGGTTAATGTGATGGTTAATTTTTTTATGTGTTAACTTGGCTTGGCCATGGTGTCCAGATTTGGCCAAGCGTTATTCTGTATGGGTCTGTGATGGTGTTTCTTGGATGAGATTAACATTTGAATCAGTGGGCCTTGCATAAAGTCCTCTAGGTCCATCCATGTGTCACAAACGACAGAATTTCTATCTTAAAGGTCGAACGGCATTCTATTGTGTATATATTCCATGTTTTCTTTATTCATTCATCCACTGATGGACAGAGAGAGAAAAAGCAAATGATCCCACTTACATGTGGAATTTGAAACAAACTAATAAGAGTAGAGAGTACAATGGTGGTTACCAGAGGCTAGAGGGTGAGGTGGGGTGGAATGGTGAAATGTTGGTCAAAGGATACAAAGTTTTTCAGTTAGAAGGAATAAGTTTTTGAAATCTATTTCACAGCATTGTGAATATAGATAATAATGCCTTGCATATTTCAAAATTGCTAAATTTCAAATGTTCTTATCACAAAAATGATAGACATGTTAATTAGCTTGATATAATCATTCCACATGGAATGTCAAAATATAAAAATATCACATTGTATCCCACAAATATATATAATTATAATATGTCAAAGACAAAAATAAATGTCAAAAAGAAAATCAGAATAAAAACTATTAAAAAAAATCGGGGGACTATGTACAAAGAAGATTATCCTCCTTTCCGTAGGTAAGCCTCATCCAAGTGGTTGAAGGCCTTAACAGACCAAAGACTGATCTACCCTAAGCAAGAAGGAATTCTGCCAGACTGCATTTGGATTTAGACTATAACTCTTCCCTGAATCTCCAGGCTGCCTGACTGTAAATTTTGCACTTGTACCTCCACAATACCTTAAAACTAAAATATATCAATCTATGTACATACACACATCTAACTGGCTCTGTTCTTCTGGAGAACACTGAATAATGCAGTTATTTATATTTCTTTTCTTTTTTTGAGACAGAGTCTAGCTCTTTTGCCCAGGCTGGAGTTCAGTGGTGCAACCTCAGCTCACTGCAACCTCCACCTTCCAGTGATTCTCCTGCCTCAGCAAAAGTAGCTGGGATTACAGGTGTGTGCCACCATGGCTATTTTTTTTTTTTTTTTTCCCAGTAGAGATGAGGTTGCACCATGTTGGCCAAACTGGTCTTAAACTCCTGACCTCAGCTGATCCACCTCAGCTTCCCAAAGTGCTGGGATTACAGGCATGAGCCACCATGCCTGGCAGTTATTTATATTTATTTGCTCTTATATTTCCAGGTTTCTTCTAGCTTTAAAATTCTATGACTGGAATAAATACATATGTGAACTTGGAAGTAGATCTTTCCCCTGTCAAGCCTTCAGATCGGACCACAGCCTTAGTCACCACTCTAATTGTAGCCTCCTGAGAGACATTGAGCTAAGGCACATCCACGTTCTTGACCCACAAAACTGTGAAATACATGTTGCTTTTAAAAAATTTCATGAGTGGCACTTAAATTTCTTTGGGACTATATCATTTAATAGAGACTGACTCAAAAGGGGAGTCTGGGAACCTGATCTTAGCCCCTGGTCACCTCTAGCTGGTGTGCACAGACCTCAGATCTTGTCAGTCTTATTTCCCTATCTGTTAATGTGAGAGAGTTGGGCAGAAGAACTTAACTTCCCTTAAATGCTACAACTCAATGTCTCTATTAATCATACTGTTTATTCATCAAAATGAATACTGATAAAAATGACAAGTAGAACACACCCTAGATGTTCAGGCCTCTGGAATTGGTGGCAGCGTCCCAGCTTCCTGCCTGTAACTGTGAGTAAGTCCTGCTTTACCTCTTCCCCACCCCCGCACCCACCAACAGTTCTCTATCACAAGCTAATCAGCGTTAAATAATTGTTAGGGCACTTCTGTGCGTGGACTGTGCATCTGCCAGTGTGTACCCCGTGCAAGCTGGGCTGTTAGGGTTCTGGATGTGCATACAGTCCTGGCACCGGAAGGTTTGCCTCTAGCATTTTGTGGACTAACTCTGGCAGTACACAATGGGAAGAAAACCTTTTTCCAAGTGTAAGCCCTTCTCTCTTCTCATTCCCAAGGAGGTGTGTCCAGATCCTTTGCCAGGCAGCTACTTTACAGGAGCATTGGAGAGCAGGAAGCTAACCTTCCCCAACGAGCAGCTAGATTTACATTGGCAAATCAATCCCTCTCAATAAAATGTTATGTGACCATCTTCCCAGCCCCGTGTTAACATCCCTTCATTTTTTCGAGCAAGCGAAACAGTGAGAGAAGACAGAAAAGTAAAGTGGCAGAAAAGTTAAGCAAAGCAACGACCCGGGAGCGTGGCGGGGAGACCCGCGCGGGGACTCGGGTGGGCTGCAAACGCTGGGGAGATGCCACAGGAGCGCCTGCCTTCCCAGCTTCTCCTTTCTCTCGTTGAGGGTCGCCCCGGTTCAGCGCTCCCAGCATTCTGGCGACCTCCAGGTCCGCCCTGTCCCCTCCCCGCTCAGCCCGGCTCTGCGCCCATCGCCCACCCCACGCCTACCCGCCGCCACTCTCCCTTCGCCGCTCGCTCCGAGAGCGCCTGTCCCGCCCCGCGGGGCGACTTCTCCCTTTCGGCCCTGAGGTTCAGGATCCTGGGTGGGGCAGCTGCGCCTCCGGGACAGCCCTAGCCGCAGAGCGCCCAGACCTGGGCCGCCGGAGTCCGTTCAGAAGTCCACGCAGCCGGCGCCGCCGCACCTGAGCCCCGGCTCCTGTCACGCCGCTGCGCCGGAAGCGCGGGCGGAGCGCACGGGCCGGGGGAGAGTAGCCTGCGCCCACGAGGGGGACCCAAGTCCCCAGGGTGGTGGCCGAGTCCCGCCTCCCGCCAGCAGGGGCGAGGACCTGCGACGCGCACCCCTCTGCCCACGCACCCTGCCCGGCCGGGTCTCCTCAGCACCAGCGCCACGCACACCCGACTTCCTCAGCTTCTAGCCCTCACCCTGCCAACTTCCCTGCCAGGAGGAACCTGCCGCCAGCCTGCTTTCTCGCCCGCAGGCCCTGCGCTGAACGCCGCCGCGCCCAGGGTTCACCTTACGCCGTCGGGAAAGCCCATGAACTCTGCAGAAACAGCGTAAAGGAGGGTCCCGCCGCAACGCACGACTGGGGCCCCTGGGTTCCCCCTGGGTGGAGCAGCTGCAGCAGAGCCGGGAAAGTGGTGGAGGATGATCTTGCGGCCGAAGGGGACCTCGACGCAGTAATGTCAACATGTAAGTCCCACCTTTCAGCTCGGAATTCCTTCACTCTTTTATCTGTGTTCACCCTCTGACGCCCCCTCCCCGACCACCCCACCCGCAAGAGAAATGATTTTGTAAGGACTTCAACTGCACGGAGGGAATAAACTAGTTTGTCTTCAGTTTGTCCTTCGAGGCACTGAGGAGTAGGACTATTGCCAAGTGGAGTTGTGACACGTGTGTGTGGCTTCCCCCTCCCAGCGAGGTAAACCTCACATTTGGGCGGTGTAAAGCCTAATAAAAAAGGGCAGGGCTTCAAGAATGGGGAAAACGTGTTTTCAATTCAAATTAAACAAGGAGTAACAGGCACCGCTCCTCCGGTCCAGGGGCCTGGCCCTGCCAAGAAGGCGCTCTCCGGGATCAACACCTGGGGTCTTGGAAGGTACTGGTATGCCGAGAGAATGTTGACTTTACACATTGTCACCATTGACTGTAGAAGTTATTCTTGGATCTTTGGGGTGTTTGAATTTTTTTTAAGGTGCGCAGAAAATGTTTTCAGTGTGCTTTGGAGATTAAGAAGTAATTAAGGGTTATGCCACGTTACATGCTAGGATCTGAGGGGACTTCCATAGACTTATGGGGGCGGGGAGAATTGGGGCATTGAAACAGAAACTTGAAAGATTTTGCTTCCATAGAATTGTCATCCTAATGGTGAGGTGGCTCAGAGCGACCCCATGAAAGGGTCGCCACGCACCGTCTGGCCTTCCAGAATGGGAAAAGGAAGATTGTACTCAAAAGGGCCAAGCTTATATTTGTGTCCAAACAAGAAGTTTCTTTTTCTTGTAATAGGTAATTTTCCTTCTGGTGTTTTACTTAATCTTGGGCGGACACCGTGACAGACGTTTTATCCCCTTCCACTAACTCACGTACAACAATTTCTAGAACTTGGTAGTTAACCCTCCTTCCCCCAACTCCTGGATCCTACGTGAATTTACTCTTTCAGTTCAGTACATAGGGAAAGACCTGCCCCCTAGGTCCTGTTTTTCCAGACTTTCCTGCACTTTCCATTCCTTACTTCCCCACTCCCCAAACACACATTTTTAAAATAGGAGAAAGGATAGTGCCCACAAGTGTAGCACTCTGTAACTCTGTTCCTAGTACTGTGAGATGTAATCAGATATGAACCACTTATTTTTACTAAAACAGCATGTGAAATAATTCCACACCTGGGAGTTTTAAAGTTTCCTTTATGCCGGTGGAATCGGCAAGGTATAACTTGAAAAAAATTATTTTGGGATACAGCCAGCATTTTCATATAAGGCTTGTTCTCATATACAGGCTACACATTTTGAAGTAATATGAGCTTGTTTTCAGCTTCAGTTTTTCTTGAAAATATACCTGGGATTTTAACATCAGGTATTTGCCCAGGTTTTTTCAGCTTTCCTAAGTATTTAGATCTCATGAGAAAAAAAGCATATTACACATAAAAGTATAAATACCTATTTTTAAAATAAAAGATGTTAAGCTTATCAACAGGTTATGTAAAAATTTCCTGATCATGAAATTAAGTTATATAGTCCACTTGAATTCTTCGTGATTAAAAAATCATGTCATTATTGGCCCCATTTGTTTAATCATTCCTGTTCCTCCTTGCCTGCCTCCCCACCAGCCCCTCCTGTACACACACAAACACACACACAATTTTTTTCTGAACCATTTGAGTACAAGTTGTATACATAAGGGCTTAAGAGTTTAATTTTTCAATTGAAATTTTAAAAGTGTTTCTAACTTCAAATATAGTTGCCAAAAAGTACGGAGATCCAGTATACCTTTGACCCAGTTCCTCCAGGGTCATTATAGGGTAAAAGCGTGAATATGAAATCATGTAGAAAATAGGGCTTGATACCTGGATTTGAGATTCTTTATTGAGCTATTTTGACTGAAAGTTTCCATTTTTTACCAGATGGTAAGTATGTTTTTTTCCATTTTGCTGTTTACGATTCATATGGAGTGGTTTAGGATCGTCTGATTCTTTTTAGGTATTGGTTTGTTAGAATATATGGGAAGAATTACCAATCTTTCCAAGATTAATATTCTTATTATCTTGTTGAAAAATGTTAAAATGGGGAACATAAGCTATATTATGCTTTAAATTTTAATAGATTCAAGTACAGAAACTACTTATGTGTGTTTTATGCCTCCTCCTTGTGGAGAAAGTGTATTTGTATATTGTTATAGTCAAGTTCTGAAATTATAGACTTTACGAATATATTTGGGAGTTGTAGTGACTGCATATTTTTCATACCCTAAGAAATTTAGTAGATGTAGCAAGACTTGCGTTAATTCGTCTCAAGCTGCATGAAGCTACTGTTCCATTTATGGCTTATATAAATTACATGACATTGTGCTTTTTCAATATGAATGGTGAATAAGGCTATTGTCTCTTGATTTATGGGAAATATTAGAAGCCTGTAGTTTTGTAGCCTAACTGGACACATGACTCTGATGTCTGGAAATAATGATTTGAAAGAGAATTAGTTTACATATTAAAAATAAACTAATGACCGCTTTTTAAAATGTGACCATTTTTCTAACGGCCTATATATCTTACAGAGTTTACATTTCTGATGGGATGATTAAAAGTTTCTACAGTCTATTTAGAATTTAGACTAAATAGAAAACACTTTGTTCAATGTTTGTGGTATGCATGGGCAAAAACTGTTATCTTTCAATTTTCATTTCTAATTGGATGAGATTATTATCTACATTGGATGATGTTAAGAAGCAATATAGTTGACTGGGGTGGTACTGTATAAAGGATATATTGATAAAAATATGTGGCTACGTGAGTGTCATCTTACTTTCCTTTATAAGCATTACTTGAAATGGAATTATCTGGAATGCCTTAAAAAAAGGTTCAAGATTAATTTATTTAAAGCAGAGCAAATATGACAAAAGTTTAACGTATTTAAAATAAGAGTGGTCAAAAAATCACAAATCAATGAGGAAAATATTTATATTTGTAATAGAAAACTATACAAATGACTTGAACATGACAATCCAAACAAAGGAAATTCAAATGAGACACAACTTCTTCTATCAAAGTGACAATGATTAAAGCAATAATACTCAATAGTGAAGAGAGAGCCGTGACATGAAAACAGTGATATGTTTCAATGTAAATGTGTATGTATTTAACTCTTGTAGAAATCATTTTAAATCTACAGGAAGTTTTCAAGAATAAAAATAATGCGAAGAAAGAACACACCTCTATACCTTTCACCCACAATTACCTATTCTAATTATTGGCCCCATTTGTTTAATCATTCCTGTTCCTCCTTACCTGCCTCCGCACCAGCCCCTCCTGTACACACACACACACACACACACACACAATTTTTTTCTGAACCATCTGAGAACAAGTTGTATACATAAGGGCTTAAGAGTTTAATTTTTCAATTGAAATTTTAAAGGTATTTCTAACTTCAAATATAGTTGCCAAAAAGTATGGAGATCCAGTATACCTTTGACCCAGTTCCCCCAGTGGTAGCATTTGGAAAACCTATAGTACAATGTTAAAACCAGTATATTGATACAATTTACTTCTCTTTTTCTTGTGTACCTATGTGTGTAATTCTTAAGGCTGAGTTTTACTCTCACCTCTGGTATAAGCCAGTTATACATGTTACTGTTCAAATAAAGTTTAAGATTTGTGCAGGGTTGAAGAATAAATCAGCCTTTTTGAAGTGGAGGTACACCCAACTTAATAAAGGGACTTAAATCGAGTTAATAGAATAGCACTTAAAAAAAAAATACATTGCTTTGGCTCAGGAACATGATCTTTAACCAAAAAAAGAAATACGATTATGAGCAGACTTGAATAAACCAAATTACTGTTCTTTTCACTCTGGAAGAATTAAGGTATTTTCTCTGCCACTCCCCAGTCCCTTTTATGAAAAGATTTGCCATAAAAACAGGGATGGGATATGACGAAAGCAGTTAATTCTGACAGTTGCTGTTATTAGTTGCATTAGTGTCATATCAATTTCTCCACTAATATCAAAATTTCTTCACTAATTTCTCTTTAAATTGTGACTTTTGGGGAAACCAGTAGGAGTAGAGAGATGGAAAATGGTAGGTTTTTAAGATTATTTCGGTGATCCATTTGGATAAAATAATGCGTACAAGGAATCATATCCACATTTAAAGCAATTCTGTAGAAGGGTTACATTCTAAAGCTTCCTGAAACAGGACTCAAGCAAATTGTATTTTGTAGCTTACGTAGATTGAAAAGGGGAACAAGTTTGCAACAGAGGTAGCGTGGTTCTCAAAAAGGACCCTAGGTTGGAAGCCAAGTGACAAAAATGATGTTTTGGCTCTGACACCACTGATCATATGATCTTGGGCAAGTAGTTTAGTATCTTAGTTTTTCACCTGTAAGATGATAGATTTTTTTGCATAATCTTTAGATTCCTTCCAGATATAGGAGTCTATGACTGTCTTTTACTTAAAAAATGTTCCTGCTGTCTTCAATAGAACTTTAAGACCACAATCAAAATGATATAAGAGTGTACTTGTGTGTGTGTGTGTGTGTTTTTTTTTTTTTTTTTTTTCCTCGTAGTTCCTATTTAGAACCTTAGTAACCCTGTTCAGGATTTTCCATTCTTGGGAGATAGTTATTTAAATCTCAGGGGTGTATCTTTGCTAAGTGATCCCCTGAGAAAACACATAGTACTTTCCTTCCTGTGTTCTATTCTTAATTTATTTGTTTATCTTCTTCAGTAAACTGTAAAGTGGTTGAAAGTTGGCCTGTCCTATGGTTTGTTTAGTTACAAGTGCTTGCCTTGTTGGGTTTCTTTTCTGTCGAA